GAGGGCGGCAGGGAGATCAGCCAGACCCAGCGAGGGGTGAGCGCAGGGTCCGGGGAGGTCGGTGGCGGAGGAGGGAGGCAGGGACAGTGGCCAGACCCAGCGAGGGGTGAGCGCAGGCTCCGGGGGGGTCATTGGCAGAGGAGGGCGGCAGGGAGATCAGCCAGACCCAGCGAGGGGTGAGCGCAGGATCCGGGGCGGTCATTGGGGGAGGAGGGAGGCAGGGACAGTGGCCAGACCCAGGCGTGCTCTGTGGGCCCAGGTGGGAGCATGGCAGACTCGGGCAAAGGAGGCAGCGACAAAGCAGTGAGTCTGGGCCCGGAGGGACATGGGAGACGAGGCCGAGATGCTGCAGGGGGAGGTTCAGAGAGTGGAGAATCTGAATTCAGCCCTGGTGTGACCGTGACCCCAGCTTCTCGCCCCAAGGGAGGGGCTGCTCAAGCGGGAGGGTCCTTGGGGAGCAGCTCCCAGGAGCGGGCAGAGGGCTGTGGGGAGGGGTCTCAGGGGGCTGGGATCTGTCTGGGGCACAGAGGAGGGAGCAGATGTTACCCAGGCAGGGGTGCCAGGGGCTGGGTGCCAGGGGCAGATGGGTGGCTCAGGAGACACTGAGCTGTTATGGGGACACTGGGACAGGAGCTCAGTTGCCATAGTGATACGTGCAGCACGGGGACCCAGATGGGCGTGTTGGGGGGTGTTCGTGATCTGGGGTGTGGGGGAGGGACATTGGCTAACGTGGGGGGAGGGGGAGACACGGTGGGATGAGGGGCACAGGCCAACACGTGTCAGCACCCCTTCAGGTGACGGGGTTGGGGACCAGCCTGGGTAGATGGGCTGACGGCCCCTTTCACAATGTTATGGGGTGGGGGGGGGGTACCAGCACTGGGGCCCCCCTCCCAGGGTAGGGCGCCGTCTGGGTCGCTCTGGTGGGAGGGAAGGACGCAGTCATCGTGAGGGAGGGATTTGCAGAGACTGGACATTTCTTTCCCTCCAGGGGTTTGTACGACGGCAGGAAACTGGCCCCCGTCGGTCTCTGCTGCCTCCGCACAGACAGAGTTTGCCGTTGGCGAGTGGGTTCAGGTGACCTGTCGCCCGGAGCAGTACGAGGGGCGCCCGGCTTGGATGCAGTGTACGGAGACGGCTGGGCGCGTGGAGTGGGACACGAGCAATGTGAGCTGTGTGGGTGAGTTCTGCACAGACCGGCTGCAGGGATTCGAACCCAGGACCTGAGCTCCCCCATGGGGCTCTGGCAGGCGCGAGGCCCCTGGGCCTCAGGGAGCGGATGGGGTGGAGATCTCTGCTCTCGGTGACATTACCCCGCTGGCAGGAGAGCAGCACCCAGGGCCAGTTCCCATCTAGGTCCCCAGCCATCGGGTTGGGCGTGAGCCCTGCCTGACCCCTCAGGCCCTGGTCATGCCCTGCGGGGCACGTGCCTGAGGCAGGAGAAGCCCCAGGCTGGGCAGAGGGCGATGCCCCAAGGACATAAACCTTCCCGAAGGAGCCTTGTGCCATGAGCTGCCTGGGTCAGCCCCCGTCCCTGCTGGGCTCTTCCAGGTGTTCAGACCCCTGGTGTTTCCACCAGCGGCTGCGTCCATTCATGGCCCTGCCCCATGAGGGGCAAGTGAGCCCTCGGATGGGACCAGTGAGAGCCGGGAAACCCCGGTTAGACCCCCACCCCCAGGGCTCCACAGGCCGGGCCTCGTGCTCCGGCCCTCGGTCTAAATGGCCCAGGCGAGGGGGCGCCAGCCCGTCCCTGGGTGATTATCCCCCAGCCTCAGACGTCCCCAGCTGGGCTGCCCCAGCCCTCACTCACACCAACCCCTTTCCTCTGCAGAGAAATGCCGCAGGCCACAGTGGGACCCCAGACTCCGGTTTGCGCCAGACCGGCCATTTTATGGCAAGAATGAAGAGACGACGCTGAGCTGCCCTGAGGGGTCCCAGCCTTCGTCCTCTGTGATCACATGTATGAGATGGGGTCAGACCTGGAGTTACTGGGTTGTGTGGGACCGGGACATCTGGCGCCATATCACAGAGAACGTTAACTGTGCGGGTAAGTGAGGACACAGCGGCTCTCGGCACTGGCCAGCTCCCTGCTCACGCGGCTGGAGACCCAGCTGGGGCGTGGGGTAACTGAGAACTGTCGGGGTGCACAGAGCGGGGGAGCGGGGTGTGACGAACTGGGACTGTTCTTACTGTGGTCTGTGAATGCTGACAGGGGAGTGTGGCTAGGATAGTCTGCATTGCGGGATGGTGGACTGCCCGAAGGCGAATACCTGAGTGTGTAACATGAGAACCCAGGAAGGGGTTGGAGGCCAGGTGACACCTTGGCCTGGGAAACTGAACAAAGGCTGTGGGAGGGGTCGCTGAAGGCAGAGTGCTGGAAGCGGGCTGTAGAGATGGCTGGGAGGCAGAGATGGCTCTGACCCGCCAAAGGGGGGTGGGCTGGGATGCCCTGGGACCCCAAGCTGGACCTAACTGAGGGGGGCCCTGTTGTCTGTGCCTGCAAGACCTGTCTTGGACTGTATTCCTGTCATCCAAATAAACCTTCTGCTTTACTGGCTGGCTGAGAGTCATGGTGAATCGCAGGAAGCCGGGGGTGCAGGGCCCTGAGTCCCCCAATACTCTGTGACAGGATCTAACCAGGTGCCTGATAGACCCCACGAGTCCA